AAACAGCATCATATGGCATTATTTTATCCTAACAGGCACTCCACCTCATCACTAGATTAAAGAGTCCGATCTCCAGATAAAATCTCTTTTTTTTCTTTGTTCTTTTAATGAAATCTGCAGCTGTGATGAAATTCCTGTTAAAAATCGATTTTATTCCATTACTGCAGCAAAGAACAAGTTTTGTAAAGAGATATCTGGAAAAATGCAACGCTGAAATGAAACTGAAAAACCTTTTTATTAAAAAAAGTATTTCAGAATATTTTTTTCCTCATATTTTTTTTAATGTAGGTTTATATTTAAAAATTTAAATTTGAAAATATAATATCTGCTAAAGAGAGAAAATAAAAAAGAAATTAATAATAAAAAAAAAAATAAATAAAATAAAATCTGAGAGAACTGAAAAGTTATTCTTTATTGGGGAAAAAAAAAAAACAACTAAGCTTTTTTTCTCGGTTGCTTTTTTTTTTTTTTATTTCAATTTCCAAAACATTTTTCTTTGTAACATTAATGAAACTACATTTATTCCATAATCCTGTTTCTCATAAGTTGGTCAAAGTTTAACCTGGCAGAAAACTTGACCTTTGACCTTTAATTTTTTTTTTTTATCAGAGTTCTTGGCTAACAAAGTAACCTTAAAAAGCAAGTGTAGCAGTAAAACCAGCCGCCACTACCGTGCCTCTCAGGTTCTATAGATTGGGACGTCTGAAGACGTAAGCTGATGTTCCTACAGAGCAAAAAGACTTTTTTCCTTCAAACTCATGAAACTCCTCAGAGGAAGAACTCAAATCTGAGCTAAATGAGGCCTTTTCTGTTTCTTTCAGCGCTTCGTGGACCAGCATCTGGCTTCTCAGAATCGGCTCCCCTGAATTATTTTCACCTGTTAGTAATCTTAGAATAATAAACCTTCAATTTATGGAGGAATCGCCTCTTATTATCAGTTACATTCGTCTCCTGACCTGAACTTCCCTCTGAGCTCAGCTAACCATCAAACAGATAATAAGTTGGACATGTTACCAACAATCATCAGCAGTTTCTCCTGCTCTTTGATGATCTGTATCTGAAAAACCGATCCCAGACCAGGGATGTGGGTCAGGGAGTTCTTGATGACGTTCAGAGCGTACAGTCCCTCCTCAGATCCAACCAGAACGATCTGCACAGAGACAGAAGAGACAAAATGTTTCCAGTTAATGTTCAAGCAGCAGCAGCAGCGCATCGCCAGACCTTCACACAACCATCCACCTGAAGCTAGAGTCCAGTTAAATCATTTATTTATTGCAGCTATCAGGGGTTTGGTACCTGATCGGTTAGAGGGAGGGTGCAGTTAATGTCCAGTCTGTCGTCCCCCTCCAGCTTTAGCAGAGAGTTTCCCAGCAGCTTCTGTGAGGAGAGAGAGAAACAGCAGATGAGATGCAGCTTCAGTCACCGGCCTCAGGGAGGGCGGGGGGGTCAGAGGTGGAATCAGGCGTTAGGGTAAAAAAATCAGAGGGAGATTCTTTTTAAAAATGTCAAAATTAAGTAATTTTTTCTTAAAATAAGTGCATGTTTTTATTGAGAAGGTAAGTGAGACACGTTGCCAATGGAACGAGACAGTTTACATCTAAAATAAGATATATTTAAAATGCATATTATGTAATTATCTTATTTTAAAAGTAAAAGTCCTCATTCCATTGGCAGATCATATTATTTACCTACTCAAATTAAGGGGAAATACACTTAATTTAAGACATTTTTACTTATTTCAAGGTTGTTTTTGCAGTGCACGCCCCATTGAAAGTAGCCATTTTTGTCACATTTCAAACACACCTTTCTGTTCCCTCCAGAAGAAAGTAGTGCATAAATCTGCACTGCAAAAAATCTAAATCTAGATAAGTAATTTTTTCTTAAAATAAGTGCATTTGTTCTTGAATTGAGGAGGTAAAAGAGACATTTTGCCAATGGAACAAGA